GACCCAAAGTAACCGAAAGCCTTTCTCGCCCACAAGCCAAATCTAACACCCTCTTTCGAAAAGGTTACTTATCGTACATTATGCGAGGTTTAGAATTTTGAAGCGACAGAGTCGCAAACTTCCGAACCCAACAATATGCATGACATTTTGTATAGATACTATGACAAGTAGATAACTCTAAAGGAAAATTCTCGAAAGTTAGAGTGTAAGCTAAGTTGTAAGTATTCTAAGGTGTAAAAATAAGGTATAACAGGTTGTAATAGTTATGTGCTAGTTAGTTAGCAAGATTGTTATATTTGTTATCTTGATAAGCAGTAATTTTGTAAATATAATATAGATATTATATAATTTGATAAAATTAATAAGTGTATTCCATAGTGAAAAATATAATGTATGAGTATATGATATAATTGTTGTTGAATTTAAAAGACTATTGTATTTGAAAATTACAGATTGTAAGTCCATATATATGTTTATATTACAGTTTCTAGAAGCAATAATAAGAGCTGATAAAATAGCAATAAGCTTTAACTTGAATAAGCAAAGCCAATATTTAGTTTGAGTCTGAAAGACATAAAGTATAAAATTATTTGAAACTTGAGCTCATCTAATACCTATTGAGCATTGTGAAGTATCCAAGTTTATGACTAAGCTGTCTGTATAAAAGTGAAGGTTTGATAAGTTGAAATTATAATTAGTAATTTGCTAAAGGTTATTTGTAAATGAACTATATTTGAAGATATTTGAAATTGAGTATATTGTAATAGCAATGTTAGAAGAATTTGGAGTTTGAATAGGGTGTCTAATTCCAATAGAATATATAAGGTCAAGATGGTTAGCATTAAAGTTAAGAGTTTTGTTGTATGTATTGACTTGACCATGAAATTTAGTTGAATATTAATAGAAATAATAATTGTGCATTTGTTAACTATTGTATAAGAATTAAAATAACAGTCTAAACATGCATTTGATTGAATAAGTGAAAAAGGATAAAGGTGAGTAAATTGTAATTCAATATGACATTGCCAGTGAGTTATAAGAACAGTTTCAAATAGTAAAGGCTATCTTTTAGCTTTGTTAATAATAATTTGATTGTCAAGAACTGTTATTATCCTGGCCTTCCTACTCTCAGACCAAATCAATCCATGTCTCAATTGTAGCCTACCCATTAGGATGTATAGAGCAACTTCTAGCAGTGTTACTTGAACATTCATGCTAGCTCGATCTTTGTAGTTACCCAGTTAGAATAATTTCCTAGTAGTACGATCGGATTTAACTGTCACAACATACATAATTTATCATATCTGCTAATTTGCAAAATAGCTCTAAAATTTTTCCTTTTAAAAAATCAGACTTATTTTGTGATCTTGATAAAGCAACCTTGATACTTCATTGGCTACATCATTTTATGATTAAGAAACTGAATAGCGTATTTTTTATTCAATATATAAGTAAAAGTGATCTTTATACTATTCTACGGTTGATTTCGAAGAACTTAAGTCTAGACAATATGAAGTAGTTATGAAAATTTTCTGCATAGAATCAGCTAGAATATACCATAAAATTATATTATCGCATGAATCGTATGAGTACAAACAGTTGATACAATAGTATATATATGTTACGGGTCAAGTTGATTTTTAGACTTGACCCGAGTCAAATTAACCAGTTAAAAAACCTCGGCCGGCATCAACATAATTCCGGCCCGCACTAACCCTAAACTTCTGCTAGTGGTCATTTTGACCTGGGCCAAGTTTAGCTTGACCTAAAAACCAACTTGACCCGTAACATATATATTTTGACTTTTATACATTACGGAATTTGACCTTTACTTCAGTCATTAAGTTTATCAAATTTTATAAATCTTAGGTATTTATGATTATACCATGTGCATGCAAGTTTCATTGTATACTTTGCCACCAAATTTATTTGCAAATTGATTGACAAGGCTAGGATACGCATAAATTATATAAGTTAGCGTTATATAATTTTTGTTTCCAAGTTTAAGCACGTGATAAACAAGGCCTCATCGTTGCTATTTATTACTGTAGATATCGACAAAGGCAGTTCTATAAAAAAAATGGTCATTAAATTACTTTAGCTGAATTAGTTAGGACCATTAGTCACATTATCAAAAGATGAACGAAATAAAAACATCTGCCAACGTGAATTATATGAATAATAAAGCTATAAACCAAACCTTCAAGTATTAAATAATGCTTCCATCCATCAATAATTTAGAGGTTCAAAAAAAAAATTTAATAATCAAGATAATGAAAAACATATAGCATTTTGAGCAATAGACTGTTTAATAATAATTTGTCCGAAAAGATTTTTGATATTTTCTGAAATTTCCGTCTGTAAATAACTAGTGGAATGCTACTTCTCTACCTACTGCTATATGTATGAATAATCATTTACCCTCATATGCAGCTTCGATTATACTTTGCCTGGGCAATTACAATTCAAAAGTCACAAGGTTTGACATTGACGCATGCCGTCATAAATATTAGAAATAAGTAATTTACAACGGGTCTTACATCTATAGTCGTACCAAAGATTCATACTCGCACTTATCTTTTTTTCGATAGACCTTTTCTTTTGACAAATTAGAATAAAATGTACATTTTCAACAAAGATTAAATTCTTTCAAATTTATTATAAATATAAAGGAATGACAATTCATAAAATATAAACGCTATTTAAATATAATTCTGAAAATAAAACTTCAGCCTAAAATAATTATGTTTTTATAGTAATTACTTGAAACACTTCATAATCCTCAATTTGGGTACCATTTTGAATGCCAATATTAGGATAATATCCATTACTATTAGCATTTACATAATTTCCATTAATATGCAAATTTCCACCAAAATTTGGCCCATTACTACTATTACAATATATTGCGTAAGAATAGTAAGATGATGAAATGCGTCCTAATGTGGCATTTGATATATTGGTAGGTTCACTTAATGAAAAGATAAAGCTACAATCAGAATACTTATTCAGGCCACTCATATCCCAATCAACTGGATTGTAACCACCAACAAGTTGTTTTGAATTTTGAATCTTTGCCACAACAATTGTTGCACCTTTTTGGTCACATTTTTGATGAAATATGTTATTTTGAAAACCATCTTTGCTGCCACGGAATAGTAGAATAAATTTATAGGCTGAATTGCTTTTCTCATTATTGATCCAACTTGTGAATAAACGTGCATGGGTTATGTTAATTAAAACTGAGTTAATATTATATCTAGAAGGAAATACATTATAAAGAGGTACTGCGTTTTGAATCATGTAACAGCGTAAAATGTCTTTGAATAAGTTATTTGGAATAATAGACATATATGGTAATACTTTATGGTAAAAATCTGGCATGCTAATTTCATGAAATCTAATATATTGAATACATCCTTTCAAAGTTTTCTCTAATAAATTAAAATCATCTTGATTAAATTCAGTCACATCACCATTAAGTTCAGTATTTTGTGCAATTCCCCATTTGATCAATCTTTCCCAAACTTCACTTTCTTCCATTTCAAGTTCATCATTTTTAAGGATCAAGATTAACACATCTTCATTTAATGAAAGATACTTATTATTTGTACTAAATAGAATGTCAGGATTAGCACAAATAGTTTCTAAAGAAAATTTTAAAAGTTCATTAAAGGCTTCATGACGAGCAGCAATGTGAAGTGTCCCTACAGGATTTTTTTGTAAAAAATTTTTCTGATTTTCAACAAAATATTGCTGGATATGGTCAATAAGTTTTGTAAGACCAAATTCATCTGAAGCAACCAGAAGATCCAAAATAGTCTCTCCTTCTTGATCATAAATATCAGCTTCCCCGCAATATAAAAATCTATTGATAATATTATTGATAATATTATTGACAGCATAAATCTTAAATAATTTTTAATATTAAAACCATAATAAATTATTTTACTACTTACTTAAGAAGAAGTTCAAAAATTGATGAAGAGATATTAGGCTTCTTAAAGATGAAACATCCAGTATCTTCGTCTTTTGTTGCCCAACCAGAAGTAAAAGCACCACGAAAATAAGCAGATCTGGTACGAAGAACCAAAGAGTGTGCATGAATTTCTTCAGTATTTGGCTCTTCACCGGCGTAAATAATTACATCATAATTTTCCCTAGTTTCATACAGCTGTTTATAATCTTCAGCTATGTCAATAAGAAACTTGGTACTCATCGTATAGAATTGAACAATGAATGAATAGAAAAAAGATTTATGAATAAAAACTTTAAGGTCTGAGCATGGAAAGGATGCTTTATAGTTAAATGAAGTAACACCAAAATTACAACATCGATGTTACACGACTGACCCTTCACCCGGTGTACAACATATGAAAAAATTATTTTATAATACCGCTAGTACATGTTACGATTATAATTCAGCACCATTTTATCATAATAAAATGGTGTTGGATTATAATCATAACATGTACTAGCAGAATGAACTGGTATTATAAAATAATTTTTCTATATGTTGAACACTAAAATAATTTTTTTATATGTTGCAAACTGGGTGAAGGATAATTCGTGTAGCATCTACGTTCCCCCTTGCTACAAATATTGTCATTGATGCTAAAAATGTCATGATTTGTTTTAATGTTTGACTGACTACGTACAATTTTAACAAAAAACATAATATAAAAAATCGTATATTCTTTATGATCTAGTTAAATGTTTTATATTCGTAGAGAATTTTTCATCATGGGTCATGATTACAAACACGAATTAAGATATCATTGTCTTTATACTGTATAAAGAATAATTTACTTGTCATTTTGTTTTATTTTATAATAAAATGTATTATCAAATACATGAAATGTTTCCTGAGAATTATCACTAATTCAGTTTCAATACTTTTTATAGATTTGATTCTAAATGATTGCTTATATCACAACTTGCATAAATATGGTTTATTTTGCAGTAGACAAACAATAAGATTGAAGTTTACAAGTTATTTATAGTTTAAATACAAACTTTAGTAATTAGAAAAAAGATGTATGAATAGAAATTTATTGTCTGAGAGTAGCGAAGGACGCTTTAAAATTAAGTGACACCGAAGTAACATTTTTAAAATTTATGATTTAATATTGCAAGAACAATATCTTTAGGATTTTAACAAAAGCAAGCAGGTCGCAATGTACTGATTTAACTCGATCCACAGTAAACATAGTAAATTTGAAAAAAAAATTCAGTCATATTTTATTCACAAAATTAGAATTTACCAAGGCAGAATGTTAAAACAATATAAAAGGTCACGAAGGCATATCATGTAATCTAAACAGTATTTTAACTGTTCGTATGAAAACAGTTTGCAGTAATTTTTTTCTATATCTTTCAGACTCGCTTCTTTTCAAGACCAAATATATATATTTTTTAATATCACAACTTTATGAACGATTGGTTTTCTGTTTTGTTTCGATTCATGCTCTTTAAACTATTAAAATAAATCGAAAAAAAATTATGAATTAGTCAATGTTTTGGATCCATAAAGGACAGTAGCATACGTGCTCCTTCATACTGCCCTCTTGAACCTGAAATTTTCGTTAAATATTTACCATCAGCTTCTTGAATATTCTCTAATCTATTAAAAGAAATCCATTCGATAACCTTCCTATAAAATAAATTGAATCTTGTCAATACTTTATTTCCACTTGTTCATCCCTCAGTTATTCTTGAAGAGTCACAGCCTTATTTTAGAATCTCTTAGAAAATTTTATAGCAGATATAATTTAATAATCCTAAAATTTTAAGTCAAAAAAAAGATTTTTTTTTCTATATGTACATGCTTCAATTTGCGTTTAAAAGAAATACGAGCGAAAATAATGTGGTTTCATTCAATACGTCTATTGTTCACCATTAATAATGCTCTTTGGAATTTTATATAAGTATAATCATGTTGCACGTCATGTTGTGAGTTTAAATTGGTTATTTGGAAAGGTCAATTCATTTAGATTTTTGATTTCTAAATTATAATATACAGTGCATAATTATTGGTAAACTAATATAAAGAATCGCATTATCTTTGAAAAAATTTACCTCTAAAACCTAAAAATTTAATTATGCACTCTAAATTGATAAATATATTCATTTAATAGCGCAATTTACTATTCTTGAACTAATAATGTAAAATACTTCTAAGGATTTCTTTAATGAAGGATATATCATTAAATTTATTGAATAAAAGCACTTATATAAAATAGTTGACAATACCATTATTTATGATTCTATAATAATTATTTACATTACAGTATCAACATAGTTTTTGGCTTCTTTAAAATATTGTTTCGACTTTTCTGCACATATTTGTCCGCAATAATCGTAACGAGCATTTTATCAGTTATGTAGCTCCTAAGTTCATTTCTGTATCCATCTAAAATTCTTTTATTCCCTTTAATATATAGTTGTTAGAAATATCGTAAACAAGCATGGCATCATCATTATAACCATAATGACTATAATAATAAATAAATAAAATTGTTGCATTAATTTATAATAGCTCATTTAATATTTGGTCTGAGATGCCATCCTATAAGAAAAATATAAATTATCGTATTAGGCTTGTATCGAAGACGTTACTAAGGCTTTATCTATGTTAGTTAACATTTCAAATATGTTGTGTGTGAAATTATAATGGGAATCGATTTAAGATTGAATTACTAAGCCTGAGTGTTGGCATTTGGACTATGTCCAATAAAAAATTATTTGCACATAGACCAATATGGACATGGATTAATATCAATAATGTTAATGTCATATTCGTATATTGAGCAATATTCAAAAAGGTTTAAAAGTTTGATGTAGTAATGAGCAGTCTACAGATTTTTCCAATATTCTGCATGGAATAAAGGTGATCAATTCTATGGGCATTTATTTATTTGCCAAAATCTTTCGGAATGTTTCAGAATTTTATTCCAGTTTTGGTTTCAACCTTGTTCGATGACTTTCCATTCCGTATAGAAAGCACTTTATTCGTATCAGACTAAGTGTTTATGTCCAATAAAAAAAAAATATGGACAATATGGACATAGTCCATAAATATCCATGTCCATTTGTCAATATTGTTCCAACGATGGTTGCGTCAGATTGAAATTTAATTTGAGTTGCGTAAGGTCAAAAAGAATATCAAATTTGCATTGATCTATAATTGATAATTTAACTATAGATGTTGATGCACGATATTACAGTTGACCCTTCCATATTTTCATTTGTCAGGGAAAAGTGAAAAATATGACTGAATTTAAAATTTTGGTCAAACTACAGAGGTAAAATCAACAGGAGGAACCGTCGATGTTACACAACTGATTCTTCACCCTGCGTGCTATGTATAAAAAAATCAATTTTACAAT